TACACACACACACAAAATAAATTTCTTTAACACTTCGTTATAATGGATGTGGGAAATATCAACTTTTAATAAATTATGCACACATATATAATTCTTTGGTTTGGAAAATTTACGTAACTTACAATTAAATCTTTGGGTATATAACCTAGACAACTATATATGTCATGTCTTATATTCTATATGTACAAAGCAATATAAGCATACAAGATGCCCATAGATTACACCTTAACTTACAGAAGAAGACGCAACTGTGGTAACGATGGTAACAGAATTAATACGTCATCACCCACCGATGACGCAACAATTTAACTTCCCTCATCCTCATGATTCGGGAATAAAACGAAGTTATTTGTTTGGAAGAGACTGGAGACCAGAGGAATGTAACATCCAAACTAACCTAAAAAATCTCCTGATTTAAAAGCTCAACACCGTTACCAAACAGCATTGCTGTTGCAGGTCCAATCAATATTCGAATTCGGGGTGGGGGGAAAGCCAACTGATTTAATTCTTCCTTCATCCATGGTGGGGCTTTCCTCTACAGTTTACCCTGTTTGTTTAGACACGTAATCATTGTGTCACCATTGTTAGGAAGTGCGCCGCACGGCGGTGAATATGGGAGTTAGCAACGGCCGTCATTTCAAAATCAGACCAGTTTCTGTAACAACAGAGAACAATGTTACTACACAGACAGCAATAGTTCAAAAACCACGTTCTTCAAATATCAAAATACGTACATGCATCTGTTTACACAAGTATTCGTTACTTATGCCGAGAATGTATATTTCTTCACAGAATCTGTGTGAACAAAAGGATACACACTAATTTCAGAAACTTTATACACTATAATGATATGAAGTTAGCGTAAATATACAACACAACAAGTCGTTGGTATTTCTAACAAGTTTATTGTGTGAAAACATGGATGAAAAAGGCAAATATTATAACAGAGCATAGTAGATTGTTTGGTCTAGAAATAAACGAAAAAATGAGAGTAAGTGACCAGTTTTTATGCAAAATCTTCGAAATTCATGACGAAACCGTAAAATAAATTCCTGCTCGCCGATTAGTCCAACTGGGGAAGTGATCCATAATACAATATTTCCTGAAATATCACGTTATTACATAATCGCGAATATAAAATAAATGACATGATCAGTTATTCAGAGAATATATTTCTAATTGAACCTTTATGATGCCCCGAAACGGAAAATTAAACCGCTATCAGTTTCAGCAGTAACGTTATACTGTCCTGTTAATGAAGAAATGCTCCACGTGAGGAACTACTGTCCACCGACCACGACAAAAGCCCTGCAGGGGGAATGTTTCTTATCAGGTGGACTAGAGGGCTGCTATTGGTGGGAAGTGTGATACGTCAGAGTTTTACGCTACTACACACAGACTGAAAACATCAAGCAGTTACGAGTAGCGTGTAGTAAGTGCACTTGTACTGTGTTCTGCGGGTGTTGCGATAATATTCTAGATTAAATTGCTGTGCCACTGTGAGGTACTCCTAAAGCTGTACCCATTATAACACATTATCTGTCGTTCGTTCAGTGGATGTGGAATGCATGCTTTTAGGATGAGTCGTCACTCGCCGCGAAATCTTGCGCATGCGCGTATATAGAATTCCTAGCAGGGCTTTTCTCCTGGTCTGTGGACTGTACTTTGTTGGTGTGGGGAATGGCGAGGCGTGGAAGGGTCCTCAAGTGCACTCTTTTCCACGACCCTAACCTGTCTTATAAGGAAGGTATCTAAACAACGAGAAGCAAATTAGGTTCAATAAACCAAGTGAATAAACATTAATGTATTTCCATTCATTAGACTGAAGTGTTTTGATATTCTTAATATTTTATTTACATTCATATCAATACACATAAACATGCTGTGATAAGAATTTTGTATATAAGCTCGGAACGTATATTCCATACCAGAATACACATAATACCGTCACACGTTCTACTCCATCGATTGGGCCCAACAGAGTAGATTTTCCCTGTAGACGGAGACAGACTCCCATCTCCGAAATGTCGTGGGTTTTATTGACAATATTTAGTCTTGGACGTTGGATATTATCGAGAATATAACTTTACAGAATGAAGATGTAATGTACTAAAGGAGAGCATCTCATTATTGCAACCCCAAGAGCACATTTGCCATTCCTTTTTACATGCACATAATTTTATGATACACAAGCCTACCACATTTATGACTCATATTTTAGCGGTATTGAATAATACCATCACTAAATACATAGAACAGATTTCTTCATGAAAAGTTAATACTCGCTATACCAGTAAGAAACTGTCTCGTATTTTTGAAGCCGCGAGTCAACTGAATCCTGTTCAGCTCAGATTTCCATCTACATTTATGTTTTTCAAGTAGTTTCTTTATCAATCAGGTCTACCGATTAAACTTTTCAAAGTATTTTTATCTCTCCCTGAAGCGTTTCGGAGGTCCTTGCTGCCTCCATCTTCAGGCAACTGATGATGGAGGTTGCAAGAAACTCTGAAATGTTGATAAACTTCTACCAGACTACACGGTACTATAACCCAAAAGGCCGCCATGTTTGCTCTTACCGCCGTGAGAACCTCAAATTATAATTTATTTCCTATCTTTAAATTGTCATTGTGTACAGAGTTCTGATGACGAGACATGAATTAATGCTGAGAGTTTTACTATAGTTTAATGAGTTTTTTGTGCTCTTGTTTATGGTATATATATGTTTCAATAATAAATTACAACGATCAGGATAAAAAATCAATGAGTATTTCTTCTTACAGTCTTATGGATGTAATTCACCACTGTATTCTCATTGTCTCTCCAGTAACGCAATCTGACATATTCCATGTAACACAAAAACAAACAGAGATGTCGCATTACCGACATATTGATATTTTAGTTTCACAGAAAATTACATCAAGAATTATTGCATATTTTCCAAAGCTATTGTACCTCACGAAAGTTTAGAATACTATTAATGGCCGCTTCTAGGTTTACCACTTCATATGTTTTCATGGAAGCCACGCTGGTATTAATAAAGAAAGAGATTTGAATGAAAAATTCGTGACTTCGTTGTACGGAACGATGTCTTAGTCAAATTTTACAAAAATACTCCACTTGGGGGATGAGTTAGGACAGACACACACACAGGTAAATGATAATACCACAAGCCTACCATTCATTATTAAGAAAAAGTAGCTTAAACAAGCTCAATCTACAATGGATTACATAAAGAGAGGTTGTGTCTTCTTCATATTAATTAATATATTTCTCAGGAACGTTTCAAGAAATGGCTACAAACTTTTGCAGGCCGCAAATACAATATTTCTTATATCACTGGCATTTTCTCAAGCTGATAAAATCTAAAATTTATTTTGTGCATTTTTTCTTGGAACAAAACGTTTTTCACATAGGTAATTTGCGTACAACGCCATAAATAATTTGTCTAATTATTTTAGATCTATAGAATATGCTAATAGCTTAAAAATGCTGTCCAAACATGCCGCAGAAGTTTCATTGTCTTTTTATAAAGTTATATATGACTGATAATAATAAATTATCAAACAATAATGCTTAACGCTGGCATATCACTGCACTATTACTACGAGCTACAATTTGTAGTCTTCAGATGCGAAATAACATTTTATTTATCTGAAGAAACCCAAAACATACTATAACTTTACTCAACTGTAAAGCATGTATAAAGGAAATATTTAGAATAAAGCCAATATATAAACTTCCTTTCCGTATAGACGTATTTACGTCAAATTCTCCGGAACCATGGTTCCACTGTCACTTTTTTAACCTAAACCATCATCCAACACAAACTTAAGCTACCATTTGTCATTAAACCCGTCAGCATGCACTGACTTTATAATGGGATACTCACAGTAAGTAAACAATCATGAAGTTCCGCTTGCAACATTTCCGAACGAACGATATGAAGATGGATTCGTCCGGATTCCCTAACGGTCAAAGACCGTTCAAGAAGGGGCGCCAATTTTGGTAGATGTAAAAAACAAACTATAACCACTCCCTGATGATGGAGGCACAGAATATCTCCGAAACGTTGGACTACGGTTCTATTTTGATGCGGCTTCTCGCCCGACAGATTTTATTGCAAGTCTACAAAGTGTCTGAAAGTTCAGTCAGCCCTATAACTGTCCTTAGGAAGTGGTCTGTATGCAGATTACTGCAGAACATGACAAACGACTAAGCTCTAAATCAGACCACACTTCAGATAATCAATTGGAGTGCACACTGTCCTTATGCTTGTGCTCCGTCCATTACTTAACAAGCCTTTCGTGTCTGTAACTCACGGTACACTGCTATTACAGAGGCAGGCTAATTAACGGGTCACTATGGTAACTCCGGTCAGCGTAACAAATAATAATCAATTCTTTGCTCCACAACGTGTTTTATATCACAGTCTGTCCCGATTTTTCATCGATATGCAGAAATAAAATAGAGTATCTGATCAATGCCATCTATTGGTAAAACTTAACACTATATATCGTAGGGATATAATATTCAGCACTAAGAAAAGATGTTCAGAACGAAAAGACTCTATACACAACGGTTCTTGTTGAGAATTTGATAGTCGCTTAGGTGGTCCAAAAAATTAAGATTTTAAAGGAACCCAAAGATTCGTTATTGTATTCAAAACAGTCCGCCAGTACTCACTAATCTGAGTCAGTTAAACTCATCCACAACTTCCAGTCCTAAACATCCACTTTAATATTATCTACGTTTACGCCTATGTATCCCAAGTGACTTTTATTTTTTCAGTATTTCCCGACTAAAATTTTGTACCAATTTCCTAGCTGGGCTCACTACGGACTGGACAAGGGTTCGATCTCCGACCTCTGCGCCCAAACCGGCCCTGGGCATGGGGCTGGGTCCTTTCCCCGGGGTAAAGTACGCTGACCACTCATCACTATCTAGTGCGGAGGTTAAGAATGAGTACGAGCTATACCATCTCTCCCCCAAACACCTACAAGGTGTGTTGTGGGACAGCTTTATTGTTTATATGCATTTCCTTGCTACGTAACCCGCCTTAATTTATTTTTCCCAAGGGTGAAGGTTACAAATTATGACGCAATGTACACCAGCTTCATGTTAAAAATACTATCTTTACCATCGTGTTCTGAATCACCATCTAAAAGTCGGTAAAGAGTATCGAACTCAATTTTTGATCATTAAAACCCTCAATTACAGGCAATTTGTCGATATAATCCTAATGCCCGTCACGCTGGATTGGATGAGTACGCCATTATGACATCGACGTTCCTGGAAGAAACACAAACGAGGCTGTGGTGGGTTTCTGTTGGTGCGTTTGACAGATATCTGGCTTTAGTCGCCGTGAAGATATTTTCACATCAATTTACTTCAAAACAAAATTGTATGAATTTATAGTTTTAATGCGATTTATAAAGATAATTCTGCAATAAACTGGACACTAAAAGTATGTTCCATCAACTTTAATTTCTGTTTGTCATAGGTTGCCCTTATTCAATATGACACAACTAAACCAAATAAATATGAGTTATTCCTTCATAAATATTTATACGTGCTTGCGATGCACCTATTTCATAACGCGGCTAATGCTACGTACTATTTAAATTTCAGATATAATTATCAGAGGCAGTTATAAAC